CGCTGGGGTGCAAAGATCCGCCCGGTGCCCCCCCCGCCGGTTGCCCAGTCCCAGGCGCGCAGGAGGGCGGAGCCGGCTGGCCACCTCAGTGTCTCACTGGCTCAGTTGCCCCAAAACTCACGGCACAGAGCCGCCCACAGCAGAAGAGCCCACTGCGGCGCTCTGACTGACAGGCGGGCTCTTCCCTGGACTCAACTCTTGGGCCCCGGATTCTTGGCCTGGCGCCCCTGAGAGCCCGGCACCTGGGTGCCCCGCACCCCTGACACCTATGGGTAAGACGGCCCTGAATCCAGCTGATCAATCCATTGCCACATGGGCCCCTTTGCAGTGGCACTCCTGCAGCCACCTCCTCCTTCTCTGAGTTGTCTGGTTTCTGCACTGGAGGTGGCACTGTGGTTGGTTGGTGCCTAGAATGGCTTCCAGAGGTGGATGGCCACTGTGCTTTATGTGCCACAATACAGTACCTGACAATGGGCATGGAATTTTGCAGCATATAAAATGGTTGCTGCCCAGGTCCCTTCCAACCACCAGCAACTGGGTAGGCCAGCCTGCCCACTGCTGCCACCGCCACTGGGCCTAAGTGGCAGTGGAGTCACAGTAGACGCATCCTCAGCCATGGGGAAATGTGTGGGCCCTAGCAGTTGCCTGACCATGCCAGGTGCTGATGCAAATTGCCAAATTTGCCTCTGCTGATGGGTATTGGGACCTCATTTATGACATCCACTTTCCACAACTAAACTTGGCACTGCAGTTATCGCAGTGAAACTCTTCCTCCAAACTAATGACAGGAGCCAAATTCAAAACTATAGGTTTTGTCAACAGCCACAAAACAGTTTGATATGTGTTCCCTCCCCTCGTGTAAGAGTTATGCTGGGAAGGGACACAGGTGGCACTGTGGTCTTGGGCTTGCCGATTAGAAGGTCGGCAGTCCGAATCCCTGCGAAGGGGTGAGCTCCCGTTTCTCTGTCCCAGCCTCTGCCAACCTTGCAGTTCGAAAGCACGCCAGTGCAAGAAGATAAATAGGTACCGCAGCAGCGGGAAGGTAAACGGCGCTGGTCTAATTACGTCAACATTTTCCTTATGTTTCTGGAAGCAAGGGCTGTATGCCTGGAATATCCTTTCTCAATCCCATGACAGTACAATTTCATGTTAAGCTTACAGGAGGAGCAAAGTTTATGAAAATGGGCCGTGAAACCTTCATTGTCCTTTGGTGTGATGACGGAGTGTTGCCATATTTCTAGAAGTAAAATTCAGGACATTAAAGCTGTTGAGCTTTAGCTTTTTTAGGAAAAACAAAGTTGTTGAACTTGTTTTAGGCAATCAACCTCAAAATCCCAGACGTTTTGAGGATTTTCAGAAATTCGCCCCTGGACGCTGTTTTCGCTGGTTAAATCCCAGACTTGTAAAGCTGTATGATAACCTTACTTGAAGTCTAGTTAAAGGAAGACCCATATTCCACCACCAGGGTGTCACACAACTGTGGTCTTTTGCTCTTGTCTAGAATCCCGGCTGATCCTGACATGCCTGTTGTAAACATATTTTTTTTTGTCCCCAGACCCAGGTGGCCAGTGGGGGATATTTAAAAGGGCATTGTAGAATTATTTAAATACAGGCTTTGCACCACCCATCAAAGTTGTGTCTATAGAGTGAAGGCTACTCCATTAGGGCAAATGGGACACTGACATGCCTGCTCCCTCCTGTTTTCCTCTTTCTTCCAACCAGTCCAAGGTTGCCTCCTATCCTCTTGCTTCTTACAGACTTTAAACAGTGTTGACAAGAATTGTTCAGACCTACTGCATGTGAATGAATTTCACTCTCTTAAAAAAAAAAAGTGCTGGAATGGAAGAGACTATTTAAATGTAGATTATTATTTGCCATATATATATATATATATATATATATATATATATATATATATATATAACACAAGGATAGATTTTGGGGGTGGGAAGTTTCTTCTGTACGTTTTGTTTGAAGTTGCAAATCTTTTCATGGCTCTAATTTATATGCAAAGATTTTCTTGCTCCTATCACAGGTTTTTCCAATATGTTTTGATGAAGCCTAGATAGTTCAAATTCATCTGAAGCATTGTGGATTTTATTTATTTCATATCTGACTTGCATTAAGTTTTTGTTATAGGTTCACATTTGCTTTTATATTCCAGTAAGAGAGGAAATAGAGTGCGTGATTATGCCAAGTCTTTGTTATTTATATATATTGCATCCTCTGTGTGGGTGTGCCGTTCTGGCGCTCAAGAGAGAGGCGGACCTCCATTTTAATTCTCACTACACTAGATGATCATTAACAGTGGTTGCACAGATATATATATATGCAGTTCCAAGAAACCTGTGAATAAATAAATACAGGAGAATGAAAGTAATAAATTGTTTTTTCTCTCTCTTTTTTTCTTTTTAATGATCTCTGCTTTAATCGCCACTCTGAGAATTGGCTCTGGGCCATACAGCGCTTTCCCAGTATTTCTTTTTTTTAAAAAAAAATCTCCCAATTTTTTATTATGAAAAATGGTTTCCATCACATTAAGGCTGCAATCCTAGAAGGTATTATGCACTGTATAATTACCTGGGAGTAAATCTCATTGAATGCAGTGGAACCTAGTTTTGAGTAGTCACCTGTGGGTGTCCACTGTAGTTTCCTTGATCCCAAGGGCCCCATCATCCCTGACCGTCCAACAACATCTGGAAAACCACAGGTTTCCCATCCCTGCTTTGTTCTTATGCCCCACTGTTTAATATTAGGGGAAAGAAGAAGAAGAAAAGCAGTGTGCCGTTGTGCCTAGTCTTGGGGTTGACCCTGGGAAACCTGAGTTAAAACCTCTCTCTAGCCTTGGAGCTTTTTTGATAACTAATAATAATAATAATAATAATAATAATAATAATAATTTATTATTTATACCCCACCCATCTGGCTGGGCTTCCCCACCCACTCTGGGTGGCTTCCAAAAAAATATTAAAATACTATAATACATCAAACATTAAAAGCTTCCCTAAACAGGGCTGCCTTCAGATGTCTTCTAAAAGTCTGGTAGTTGTTGTTCTCTTTGACATCTGGTGGGAGGGCGTTCCACAGGGAAGGTGCCACTACCGAGAAGGCCCTCTGCCTGGTTCCGTGTAACTCGGCTTCTCGCAATGAGGGATCCACCAGAAGGCCCTCGGTGCTGGACCTCAGTGCCCGGGCAGAACGAGGGGGGTGGAGACACTCCTTCAGGCCGTCTAGAGCCCGCCTCACCCTAACATACCTCACAGAGTAGTTGTGAACATAAAACAGGGGGAACTCCATGCATATTTCCTTCAACTTCTTGGAAGAAGAGCCGTATAGAAATGTTCTCAAGTAAATACAGCACGCTCAGGACAAGTGGAAACATTGTATTTCATGTATTTCAAAGAAGCTTGCTTTTACATAAAGGCACATGGAATCACACCCTCGATCCCACTGAAGGGAATAGGATTGGTCCTCCCAAACAGTTGCTCCACGTCCAACTCTGGTGCACTTGCAAGAGATGGGAAGAGCTGCTCTCCGGTCTTAGAGACAAGAACATAGTGGAGCTCAGTAGACTCTGGTGGGTCTGTAATGGGAGCGGGCTGAGTCTAGTTTTTACTGGATTTTCAGATCCCAATAATGATAATCTGAAGAACACAGGGTTCTATCGGCCTGTTTTAAATACTGGCTGTTTATTTGCCTCACTCCCAGGCAGCTCTATTTAGCAATTGCTCTTCGCGTTCTGTTGCTTCAAATACATACTTTTTTTTAACAGAAGCATCTTTGTCCCTTCATGAGCACACATAACAGCCTTGTGCTCTGGCTGAGATCCTTCTACCTGGAGTTCTTCTTCTTCTTTAACTGGAGATAGAGGGAATCGAATCTGTGACTTGATGCAAGCTACGCATGGGTTCTGCCTGAAGATGCCATGGAAGGAGCTCCCTCTCCAATGTTCAGTTTTGCCTTGCAGAAATCCATTTCACATTTCCCCATGGCAGGCCTCGAACTCCTATCTCCTGTTTTCCCTATCTGCATGCTTTCCCATTTAGGTATTATAACTGTTATTTGCTTTTCACCACACAAATCCTATGAGCCACTTCTTATTTCCCTCATTCACTCCATCTTCCTAATGAAATGAATGTTCACCTTTGAAAAGTGTGAAGTCCAAAGGTGACTACCTTGCTAGTAACCAGTTGCCCGCTATTGAGTAACTTGGAACCATGATTTAGTAAATTGCAAAGAGAGGGAGGGAGGTCTTCTAGGAACTGAGCAATAAAAAACCATTGTCTCTAATAAAGCCTCCTGGGATGATTTTTCTTCTTTAAAAAATAAAATAAAATCAGTTATCTGCTGCTGAAAAAGAGAGTCATGTTTCTCCCTTTCTGCCCGTCTTAACTGCAGTTTTTGCTCTGCCAGAATCTGACGCGTTTCAACATTCATGCACAGCTAGTCATTTCTGACAATTGAGAACCCCCTTTTCCCTGCGTATAGCGCAGTATTTATAATGTTTCAGAAAGTGTCTCTTTGATTACATTATTCCTTTGTCTGACCTATACTTACAGATAAAAGCGTTTTGGTTAGAAAACACATAATAAATCACCACGCGTGGGGGAGGGTGGGGGGATAAAATAGAAGAAGTTCTTTCTTCTCTTTGCCCTCCCCATTGTAGATTACATGTGAATTAATGATTATATATATATATATATATGAGAGCTAAGTGCAGACGTCAGAGTTCTGTTAGCAGTTTTGGCTCCGCAGGAAGAAAGCATGGCGAATGGAGTCAGCATAATTCAGGGTCACTGGAAACATATGTCAAGTGCCGGACAGTACACAGGACTTGGCCGGGGAGGGAGTTGCAACTACAAGAAATATGGAAACGGAGGAAAACTGAACTTGACAAGATTTATTCGCCTTTTCTAAACGGGGTGTTAAAGACATAGACAAGGGAGGCTCTCCATGCATTTGAGAGCCCTGGACAACTTACGTTCTCAAACACAGAGGAAGCCTGAGGATAGCTCAGTGGATAACTCCGTCTGTAGAGCCTGAGACTCTTAATCTCAGGGTCCAGGGTTCAAGCCCCAGTTGGGATGAAAGGAGGTTGGACTAGATGCCCCTCGGGGTCCCCTCTAACTATTCTATGATTCTAAGCCTACTTAAAACGGAATCGAGCCCCCACGCCAGAAGACCACCTTCCAACTTGTAGAGGGCAATGAAAATGGTGGGCACAGCTAGTACGACTCATGCCCATGCCCCCCCCCCCGTGACTCCTTAACACATATTACAAATGCCTGAAGCAAACTATACTTTTGCTGGTTTGTTCATTTAAGGAGATTTCTGTTGAACTTACCAAGCTGAATGAAAACAGCTGGAGGAGGAAGAGAGGGCAGAGGGTGTGAGGGGAGGAGGGCTCCCCCCCCGTCCTTTGGACCCCTTGGGGAACTCAACAAACTTGTTGTACGTGGAACTCGGGGTGTAGAGTGAATGGAACATGGAGGAAGCACCATCCAACTTGGACCTGCTAATAAAAAAGCAAGCCTAGTGTGAGAGACCAGGGTGATGCCTGCTGTTTCCAGGATCCCTTCTTGTTGTGAGAATTTTGTGAGTGAGCCAAGAGTTTGTTTGGCCCCTGTGTGAGAACCGCAGGCTGAGAAGGAGGTTATGTTACAATGAAAACGAAGTGATGTTGATTTATTTATATTAGTACCTTTGTATTACCGGTAATTTAACATATTTACATGTAACTGTGTATTCTTGCGATATTTTGTTTACACTGTCTGTTGTTATTTCATTTTTTTTTGCACACCACTTGCATACCAGTTTTTTTAATATATTAAGTGGTGTAGAAACTGAATAATCAAATGAAGACCACAAAGAGTTCTGGTGTGCCCCCTCCGAGGGAGGTGCCTTCTCAGTGGTGGCTCCCTGGCTTGTGGACTGCTCTCTCCAGGGAGGTACAGCTGGTGCTATCACTGCCTGTTTTTAGGCACCAGACAAAAACATTTCTTTTCCACCGGTCCTTTCACTTTGAATTGGCTGGGGCCTTCTGCAGCAGGTGGGATGTTTTAGTCCAGCATGGTTTGTTCACTCTGTGCAATAGTGGGAATGAGTCAAGCAGGCCAGAAAGGTGTGTTCACAGTAAACTGTTAACTACAGATTGCCACAGTATGAATTGAACGAGAATGAGCACCCCCAAAGCAGCATTTCTGGCTCATGGATGAGATGCAAATCTCAGATGCCTCACTAATCTTTCACGATGCAGTGACATGCGTTTGACATATGTGACCAACCTCTCCTCAATGCATAAGCTTGGTGCCACACCTGAAAAGGCTCTGTTTCTTGAAGACAGCTTCCAAACTGATTCTAGTCACAGAGCAAAGCTTCAGATGTTCAGCCAAGAGCACAAGGGAGGCAAAAGTGACCCTTAAGCACTTCTCGCCTTATGAGAATCAAAGCACCACTTCTCATCTTGGACCATTTGCTGCTGCTGTTGTTGGAACGTTAACACGGGGTGTGGATTATAATAGGTGAATGATCCAACACCAGTCACAATATTCTTGTTCATGTCAGTGTTATGGGGACCAGATACAAAGAAATTCTGGGGAGGACCTGTAGCTCAAGGGCAGTGGCCATAGCTCAGTGGCAAGGCATCAGCTTTGCATATTGAAGGCTCTGGGTTCAGTCCCAGGCATCTACAGGTAGAGGAGGAAATGCCCTTTGTCTGAAACTATGAACTGAATATGGGACTCAATGGGGCTTAAATGGTCTGAACTAGTGGGGATCCTCTCGTTTTGTTAAGACACAAGAACTGCTTTCTTTGAAAAGTTGTGTGTCGGCTCACGGAGGTCTCTGAAGACAGAACGTGTCACCTGTGAAGCAGCTTCACAGCCTTACAAAGAGCTGCGGCCCTTGGACTTCTCCTAGGATTTGGCCTGAAGATGGACAGTAGACCCCTTGCAGTTTGACTGACAGGCCAGCACTGCATCCAGGTGCATGTCTGGCAATCGTCCTTCTCCTGCTTGTGGAACTGCTTACTGTTTCTTTGATTGTCAGAAAAGGAGTTTCCCAGGAGACTGATCAGCAAGTGTCTTGGTACATTTAATAGTTCCTACCTTGAATTCTTTTTTAAAAAAAACCACACACACACCAGCAGATGAAATTAATGAGGTATGACAAAAGGAAAGGAAATTGTCTAATGCTGCAACCGAGGTCAAGCTTGTGGAATGAACCTCGGGGGTTAAAACAGTAATTCAGTAATGCAGGTGTGAGGGAATGAGCCATCTAATAAATAATTAAGAATTCATTTTCTTCTGCCTTTTATCTCCCCTTTTATTTTCTTTGGATTTCTGCCCCCTCTTGCTGTTGTTCTTCCTTCTCCCCTCTCGGCTTATGTTTTCTGTTTGCCATTTTGTCAGTGCCCCTTAAATTAATTAAGAAACAAAATCAAAGCGCAAGGTTACAAAGTTCCTTTCCATTACTCGAAATCCTGGCTGGAGTGGAAAGTTCTTTTCTTCCCGTCGCATTGGTTTGTGCCTGCGTGAAACGGACTGGATCTGCATATTTTATGGGCTGTGTCTGTGATTCAGCTCGCCTGCTTCCAGGACCAACCCAAGCCATTTTGTGATACAGGCCCCTTCTGCCTCTGAGTGCAGAAACCTTTGTTTTATAAATCTCCAAAGTAATGTACATACGGTTTTGTGTCATGTTATATTGTCATATGACAAGACACGAACCAATGTAAGCCACTGTTACACACGATGCCTGAGTTCCACCTTGTCATGATTTTTAGTTTCAGGGAGAAAGGGAGCTTTTCCTCCCCACAGGTAGAAAGCGAGGCTTGAAAGAAAATCCCTCTGTTACCTGGAAACTGACAGGCGCCCCTATTTTCTGACAATCTACATTAAACTGAATTGAGCAGAGCACTGCAGCAGGTAGCCCGGTGGTTATTGTACTTTCCAGAGCTTACCCATTTTTAATGCTGGGAAGGTACTAATGTGGTTTAACTATTTGCCTGGGGCAAGCTCCTGGCACACAATTAAAATGGTGTTTTGCCCAATTGGGCAACTAATGGGATCAGCAAAAGCAAAGTCTACCACAGTTAGGGAGTAACTTGCATCTCAAATACTTTCCGCTGGAGGAATAAAATGGTGAGGGAGTCAATTTGCCTGACGATTGGCTCAGAGGTGCCACTTCTGTCTGTGGTGCCTGTTACAGCTGCATGGCTGCTTTCGATGTCTTCGCCCTCCCAGCTGCCCAGTGAAGTCGGGAATGACTTGTACTAACTAAGACCTAATAAACTCAAGACGCAGGGCCCACAAAGAGCATTGACTTGCTTTCATACCCAGCTCCTGTGCAGTCAAAGGTGCCAGGGCAGGGGAAGGGGAAGGGTCTGAGCAGTCAAGAGACAGAGGTGGGTGTTAAGTTGTGGGTGAACATATCAGACGACACAGTGATTTTTCAAACAGCTCTTGTTTATTCACAGGCCAGAACAGAACTGAACTGAAGGGTTCAGTTAGCCTGCTTATATAGAGCTCCAGTACAACGTAACTGTAACAATTTTCTAAAACTATCCAATCACTGAACGTCACTTTCGATCCCTTATTTGCATAACTATCTACAGTATCCCCCTGCTGGCCCAGGGTGAGAACTTCAGTACATAACAGTGGGGGTACAGGATGTGTCAGAAGGGGAAGAGGAGGCTGTTCAGGTGAGGGATGAGCCGGTCAAATCCCTGCCGTCCCCTGCCCAGCCCTCTCCCCAAACCAGGAGGGGCTTGAAGAGGGAAGTACAGCGACAGCTTCGATGCAGGTGAAGTCTCAGGTTGCACTCCATCACACGAGGTCTGATAAGCCATGGGGGTGGGGCAGGGGCATGATCCCACTGTTGCTTCAACTGCTCTGCGAGGCACAAACCTGGGAAAGCTAATGCCTTCTGCGTAGACACTAGAAGCACGTGTGCGTGTGCACACCTTAGGAATTGCTTTTGTCAACAAAGAATTAACTGTCGGCCATTTGCCTTCCTTGGCTGGCAGCACCAGTAAGTCCCATTGAACTCAATATGGTTGAGTAGACATTTATAGGATTGCACAGCACATCTCTTGGTTGGTGGTGGGTAAGATAAATTCCTGTGGCATATTTTAATCCATGTTTTAGCAGATTAAGACATGCTTTTTTTTTGGTAGCTATTTTTGGCGCTCTCTCTCTCTGTGTGTGTGTGTGTGTGTGTGATTATAATACAAAATAAGCAAAAAATTACAGAAGACCTTTCCCTTTCATTCATGAACGGTAGCCTTTGTTTATTAAATTACCTCAAACTGCCTACAGTATCCTCAAAGGCATCTGTATTGCGGTTTGGGTAATATGCAAATCTGTTTTAATTTAATAATTAATCAGTTGACTAGAAGGCAGATGATTAACCAACTAAAAATTATTTAATTAGTTGACAGCCCTTATTATTCTTACTATTATTATTAATTTGCTCCGGCGGGTGACACCCAAATTGCTAAATACAACGAGATTCCCTGAGCTTTTCAAAATGGCTGAAGCAACACATCTGCCCCACACTGCTCTTGATTTTCCTTTGGAGGAAAAAAAAAATGGTTCAGAGTGAATGGTAACTTTTTCCTTGAGCTCTGCAAAATATTAGCCTTGGGTTAAAAAGTTGCCTCCAATCGTGATATTCAGCTTTCAGCATCATTTCACACTCTCAGTAACTTTTCTAACCCTTAAGAAATATGGTGTCCCCCATTGCCTTCAAAACCAATCACTATTTATTAGACTGTATATATATCGTGCCGTCCAATTACTGCAGCAAGAGCTAGCGAGAAAGACTGCATGGAGGAACTTCAAGGTCTTCCAATCATTTTGAAAAGGAGAGCTTAAAGCATGGAAGGAATTGAGCGCCTGTCTTTCCTCTATGTTTGACTTTAGTTTTGAGGGTGCCCAGGAATGCAAAGCCTAAAGGCAGGAGTTCTAGACCAGAAATTTTCATCCTTTGTCACAGCAGGCCTCCATAAGTTGTGAAAACAGTTTGCAAGCTCCAATCGAAGGCACACTTCCTTGTTGGAAGTTTAAGTCCCATTGACCTCAGTGGGACTTACTTCTGAGTGAACATTCTTAGGATGGGCTGTTCTCAAATAACAGAATTGCAAATTCAGACAAACTAAAATTTAGGGTGGATTTGGACATTTCCGGAATATGTATGGGGGGGGGGGCTTTTTTAAAAATAGAAAAATGTTTTTATTTATTTTGTATTTATTTGCAAATCTGTATATATCACTGATAAATGATAGTTAGATAGATGATAGAGATAGATGATAGATAGATAGATGATAGATAGATAGATAGATAGATAGATAGATAGATAGATAGATAGATAGATAGATAGATAGATAGATAGATGATAGATAGATAATAGATAGATGATAGATAGATAGATAGATAGATAGATAGATGATAGATAGATAGATAGATAGATAGATAGATGATAGATAGATGATATGTATGTATACGCTGATGGACAGCATAAAAACAACAATTAAATTGCATTCATAATACAAGTACAGGCGTATCTTGGAAGTCTAATGGAATCCATTCCAGAAGTTCGTTCGACTTCCAAAACGTTTGGAAACAAAAGCACGGCTTCTGACTGGCCATTCAGAAGCCACGGAAGCAAACCAGAACAGTCACTTCTGGGTTTTGTGGCATTCGGGAGACAAAACGTTCAAGAACTAAGCTGTTTGAAAACCAAGGTATGACTGTACAAAATACATCACTAACCAGTAGATCTTGGTACATCAACATAGCTGAAAAAGGTTAAACCATGCGTTAAAGGAAGCCTTTTACAAAAGAGGTCTTGAAAAAGCTTTCTGTTCTTGTTTTATATTCATAAGTTTCAGGCTTTTCTGGAGTGATTTAGAGTGAAGGAGAGGCCATAGGTCAATGGCTGCGCACATGTTTTGCATGCTGAATAGGTGACCAGGTGAAAAGGGGGAGGGCAGAGCTCTTGACCTGCACCTTTGATAGTTCCGTAGGAGACAAACTTCCACCTTCCTTCAAAAATGCCCTCTTCTACTCAGCCGTTAAGCCTGCAGTAGCCCTGTCCTCTTTTTCAACTGCCCATTGTACTCATAGAATCACAGAATCATAGAATTGGAAGGGACCCCAAGGGCCATCTAGTCCAACCCCCTGCAATGCAGGAATCTGAGCTAAAGCAGCCATGACAGAGGACCATCCAACCTCTGTTTAAAACCTCTGTTTAAAAAAGTCCAAGGAAGGAAGTCATGCAAAATATTATATCCTAAAAGCAGGGACAGGGAAACTTGTGGCCCTCCAGATATTATTGGACTACAACTCCCACCATCCCTGACCATTGGCCATGCTGCCTGGGGAAGGTGGGAGCTGGAGTTCAAGAACATCTGGTGGGCAGAAGGTTCCCTATTTCTGTACTATAAAGGTTCAAACTGGCTTTCAAGGAGCAGGGGGTGGAACTACAACAGAGTGGCTCCTATTTGGTGCAGGGGCATATGAAGAGAGCACATACACATAGAGTGGTACCTCAGGTTCCAGACGCTTCAGGTTCCAGATGCTTCAGGTTACAGACTCTGCTAACGCAGAAATAGTACCTCAGGTTAAGAACTTTGCTTCAGGATGAGAACAGCAATTGTGTGGTGGCGGCACAGCGGCAGCAGGAGGCCCC